GACTGTACAAGCCAAAGACACATACGTAGACGATAATTTTGAACAATGACTCGAAGTATCGCGTTTTTTTGGGCTCTGAAGGCGTTTTCGTGTTTTTGGTGGTATTATATCACCTAGCCTCGTGCGTCTTGCCCAATTCTTTCTCAGTCTATATATGCCTCGGGTTGGTTCTCGGCAGGCTTCCCTAAATAAACTTATTTGGTGTACACTACTGTGTTATTTGTTGTGTAGTGGAGACAAAATAAAGCATTAACTACAGTCTTCTGAAATAAGTATCACTCTTGAATCCAAAGTGAAGGCCATGAAAGTAAAGGAAATGATCATTGATTTAAGAAGCTCTCCATTGTTAAATAAATTCTCCTTGTCACAACCATAGGAATTTGAAAGAGAATAGTACAGAGAAAATAAATGCTAATGTTAGATGTTAGGGTGCTTAAGGTGAAAAGAATAATAGTTTTGTGAGTACCACTGTTATTGTCATTATTATCAATATCATTATTGTCTGCAAAAATTTGTTGCGATTCATTTTGTGGATCAAAAACCAATCCGAAATCAGAATCTTCCTAGATGATGAATTTTTCTTTTAACCAAGTTTTGTTTTCTGCTACAGAAATAGTTTGCAACTTCTGTTTGCATGCCCAAAAAGGAAGTACTTTGTCTAAGTATGTGTTTTCAGAAAAAATAACAAATATAATGAACAACTAGAATTACTTGTAGGGATAGTACTGCAGCGGAGAGAGTGCTTGCTTCCCACCACTGTGGCCTGGGTTTGATTCCTGACCTTTGTGTCACTTGTGGGTTGAGTTTGTTGTTAGTTCGCATCCTTGCTCTGAGGGTTTTTCTCCAAATTTCCTCCCTCCAAAAATACCAACACTCCAAATTTAAATTTGATCTGGAAATAGTGGACGAGAAGAGCCACTTAGTGGAATGTCCATTGTTAAATTCCAATTTCATCATTCCATTTTTATTAGTGCAAAGCCAATGTGGAACATGAAAAACTAAATGTGGAAATTTAGGAGTCTTAGCAAGTGTTTCAGTTTTTAATCTGAAAATAACCAATAACCTGTAACAACTTTGGTCTTTCATATGGTGAACTTCATTGATGTCAAGTGCATGGTCATTTGCATGTATAGCTACAGCTCAAATTGAAAAAGACAACATTTTTAAACTTTCTTGTAATAAAGTAAGTAAACACTCCAAAGGAGTTTATTTTTAAAAACGTATTTTACTATCGAGTTAAGTTAATTCAACTCATAAACTCATTCATAGTTCTTGTACTGGATAAGCTGAGTTATACTGTCCTCACTGAAGTCTGTAGCACTATCATCAAACAATTCACAATATTATGCCAAGGACCAAAATTGTGGGATTCTCTGTCTCATTCAGTAATTGAATCTAACAATATTTGATCTTTCAAATAGTTACTTACATCCTATTTAGTTAATTTGCAAAATACTCAATTTCATAGTAGCTAAAAAATTAACAATTGAATAGTTGAAAGCAAAGAATTACTAAAGATTATATCCTCACCAAGTAGGTTATAATTTCCTCCATGCAAACTAGGGCGACCCTGTTGCTGTTGCTGTTATTTGCTGCAGTCGTTTCATGAAATATATTTTTATCACCTAAAAAGGTGATCACTTCTTGGATACACAGTGTGTTCTCAAGCCACTTGGATTGCAAACAGGCTATGTGAATGAAAGGCGTCAAATTTTGCATTCCGTATTAGTTCAAGTCCCATTTTAGAAGTAAGAGGAGAGAAAGAGTAAAAAAGTCGACATACTTTATAGACATAAAACCATAAAAATTTGTTTTGATTTAAGTTGCAAAAAATTATCAATACACGAATAAAATGTTTTTCGTTTTTTCACTCTTTAATCCCCTTTTGATAACCGGTGTAGTTTTGCAAATTCTTTGCTTTAAACTTCGTATTTGTATTTAATACTTCCAACACACTCGTTGCATGAAATTACAGTAAGTAATTTGAATAATGACATGGCGTATGGTCCATATGTATTATTTCTCATTATTACACTCGTCAAGAGGTTGTAAACTGTCTATATTAACTTGATCGCGTTAAGTTATTATTTCTCCACAGTTGAAGATTTTCCAAATCCCGCTGAAGCAAGCCTTAAGCAGCTGTAATGTATAATCTTTGAACTTTTACAGTCGTTCGAAACCATTTTGCATAATTGCGATCATCTTGGTTCAAAGATGTAACTATTCACTGTATGGCTCTGCGTGGCAGAGACTTCATACAGGCTTGTTTACATTTCTGTCAAGACGCTTATCTAAGAACCCAATCATCCTCACGCACTTTGAATGCTGACATGTTTTATCTTCAGATTTCTTTTCCTGAATCTCTCGCTATAGAAATATGGACCATTTTGAAAGAATAATACTCATCGTGAAACAAAAAATGACTACATGTATTTTGCAGACGTATATTCAGCACAGTACGCGCCAGGCCGCCAAACAACTGTGAAACTTATCAGGGAGTTAAACTACTGTGATCTGAATCGCGGGAAAATATTTCTTATTCTTTTTCTATTTTCTATTCTTATTTCTCTTGTCTGAATATATTGAGTGGCCCTTGATGAGACGTATTTCAGTGAAGATTTTAGTTTTTTGACATCTGAGATGCACTGAAACCGATGTATGCATCCAAGTTATCTAATGTCACTGGTTATTTAACAGTTTTTCACTACCACGAAGCGACCCCGGTAAATATCCACCGCTAACCACCGACACTAAGATGAATAGCTGTTTTAGTGTAAAACAAAACAGTGAGATAATACAGCACAAAAAGATGATTTTAACCACTCATTTATTCCTGCACTGATTACAATATTTTCGGGGGCAAATCTCACGCGAGTTGCTCGGAGGTAAAAAGCAAAGGATATTTGGAGTTTGAGTTGCTAATCAGAGTGCGTCTTGAGCGCTCTCTACTGATTTAGTATATGCTAATTACTATTACTGTTATTGCCGGACCTTGCATGACATGTCAACTGACATAGTAGTAGTTCTGTTTACCTAAGAAATTGTTTACGTCTAAAATAGTTCAGCCCTCAAGATCGTGTTTTTATTATTCAGGGAAAGACCTTTAAAAACGTTACTTAGATAGGAGGCCTGGCGAAATACATGTACTCATTTTTTGTTTCACAATGACTTCTTTTTTTCAAAATGGTCTATATTTCTATGGCGATTGATTTAGGAAAAGAAATCTGTAGATAGAACATGTCAGCGTTCAAAGACTAAGTACGTGAGGACGATTGGGTTCTTTGATTAACGTGACGTTAGCGTCTTGACAGAAAAGTAAACAAGCCTGAATGAAGTCTCGGCCATGCAGAGTCCTATAGTAAATAGTTACATCTTCGAACCAACGATGATCACAGTTATGCGAAATGGTTTGAAAAAACTGTAAAAGGTCAAAGATTATAGACGTTGTAGCTGCTTAAGGCTTGTTTCAGCGGGATCTGGAAAATCTTCAACTTTGGAGAAATAGTAACTTAACGGGATCAGAAAAAAAGAGTCGAAATTATCACCCGAAGAAGATTCGCAGTATGCAGTCTAAAAGTCGCCGGCGATTCAAAACAGAAGTGACTACATAGTGTGACAAACAATTGTACTTCATATTCAAGCAAATTAAGTATAACTAAGACATAAATCCCACTAATTAGAGAGTGGAAAAACAGCTGGTAATTTTTGGTTTAGTAAAACTGATTAAAAAGATCTTCTTTTGAAACTCTCTTTGTCTAGCTCGTTACAGCATAACGACGAAGGAGATTTGAAAAACATTTTGAAAGCAGCCGTCGTTTTTACGTTGTCGTTTTTTCATTCCTTCCTTGTACAATTTTGTAGATGCGATTCAACCCCTTTTTTTATTGTGGACTTCTTTTCAAAACCAGCGTTCGCACAAAGGTAGGAATTGTAGAAAAGTTGATGCAAGGCATGGTAACCGAAGTCTGAATTTTTTGCGTTCATTAACAAGCACTCGATTGTTGAGGGAAATATTAGTCAGCTGTCATGTACATGTTGTAACATTAAGGAAGCTGTCTTCACACTAATTGGTAAAATTGCTTTTATTGCTACGCACCTTTTTGCCTTTACAAGTGTGTTCACGTTCATCCGGCACGGTTACATTTTAAGTGCGTGGAAAAGAAAAAGGTCTGGAAATATGTGTGCACACTGTGAGACCCTCGCAATTCCTGTTTACTTGAAACTTTTATTGTATATTAAGATTGCATGAACATTGGCATTAGCTGCCTCTAGACATGTATGAGAGGCCGCATGTAAGTTTACGAACCTCCGTGAAAGAGCTGCTTTATATTTCTCTAGAGAGCCTTCTTGTCGGATGCGCACAACAGGAAGCAGGTGTCAACGGCTTTTCTTTGTGGCAAGTTTGTTGAACAGTTCACAAATTGTTCGAAAAATTCTCAGGAATTGTCATGTTTTCAGACACGTGCTCGCTCGTGTAACGAGATCGCTATCTTCCGTGCAACTAGATTTTCGGGAGCTACCTTAAAGAGACTCTGCAAATAATTTTCCCCTCATGTGAGGCGATCAGTCATAAAAGTTAAGTGATAGGTGCAAAAGATTTGAAATTTTGCAATACAGAGTGGTCTGTATTCGATAATTAAGTAAAAAATTAGGATACAAGGACAACGCTTTAAAGCCTTGCCGAAAAGGATGTACAGAAGAACCTACCTAAGTCGAACTCCCGAGGAAAACAAAAATGGTTCGAGTTAGCGGGGCGCGAGTTAACTGATAGTGAATGACGGACAAAATGGGCCGAGCGAAATGGGATCTTGTTTGAGTTACTAGGGGGTTTGAGTTAGCTGTGTTCGAGTTAGCGTGGTTCTACTATTGTTTTCACAATGAATTTTTCAGCTGTCATCACCTGTCAACGATAATCATTTTATTTTGAAAATCCAGGTTGTTAGCAGGGCTGTTGGTCTCCTCGAGAGTCAAGAAAAAGTGATAAAGTTGATGTCAAAATCATGTCCACTACATTTGCTGCTCTGTGGAAGATATTGTTCGTTTCACACGTCTTTGCGCAAGGTTAGATTTAATCTAGAAGAAAAAATTGTGCGAACATTCAGTAAAATTCCACTAGCTATGGTTTACAATGTGTCTTAAGTACCTCAACGAGGAAAAAAATACAAAGTTACAATCAGCAACACAAAAGCGACATTACCCTTTGCAATTATTAGTGTGATTAGCGATACGCGAGTTTATATGAACTATATGAAGAGTAAAAACAGGTGGTGCATCGGTACTTTAGAACGAGGGTTTTCAAATTTTCTGCTTTTGACTGCAAGTTTCAGAATTCTTCCTGCTCGAATGCGCGAAAAATAGTGCTTTTTTTTGCAGTATTTCTGTGAAAATTGTGATCAAATGAAAGTGAAACCCTGTTTTGGTAAAATCTTAGCTGATTTAGACTCTCCTCGTTGAACTTCTCTAATTAACGAATTTTTATAGCTGCTCTAATCTTAGAAGAGGCCTTACGCTCAACCCTTCCAATAAGAGTCAAATTTTTTGCCTTTGGCAATCAAGAATTAAGAAGTGGTCTTCGGCACCTAAAAATTTTTGAAGTATCAAGTCTTGCATGAATATTCTGCAATCAACTCTCATGTCAGGTTGAAAGGCTTTTAAGGAAAGCCTTTTTTAAAATTATCTTGTTTTTTAAAGGGAAGTCGTGAGTTTGCACGTAAATCGCTTAAGAATTCCACTGTAAACATCTTGACTTGTTAACATTGCACAATGACAGCTCTTCGATCCAAGTTTAATTAACGTTTTCTTTGACACCACCTGTTTATATTTTCAAGTGAAAAAAATTCCTTATTGCAGGGCAAAGGATCTTTCTTCGCGAAAACTTTTCCTACGTAGCAGTTGACGGCAACAAAGTTCTTTCAAGCGAACCAGAATTCCATGACAGTTGCCCAAAACATTCAACGATTCAATTGTTTTTATTTAGAACATTTAATAATTCCTATTCATTATGATGGATAACCTATTCAAGGAGAAATACCTCAATTCACCATTAGCCTGCTTAGCATAAAAATATTTACACCTGGTTAACACAGAATCTGCTGAAGATAGGGAAACTGAATTATAAAGAAAAGCAGGCTAGAGTAACGATTTGCCCTTACATACGTATCGCCCGAACGCAGCTAGAGCCCTGTAGCATATACAGCTGCGTTACATTGTTTCATGTTGGTTTTTGTAAGATTACATCATAATCAACTTGTGTTCCGTTTAGCATTCTTCATGTTTTATTTATTATCAGAAACGTGCAGAATTTTGGAGTTTGTTCAACCCGAGGAAGACAATTACCTTGAAAATCATGTCATTAAGTCCTTGATGGTTGATAACAGAGATCAGTGTAAAGTGAGGTGTTACGCAGAGAACTTCTGTTCATCCTTCAATCTTGGAATTTCAGAGACCAGGGGCAAATTAAAATGTGAACTCAGTGACTCTGATCACTTTCAACATCCTGAACATCTCATTTGTAAGAAAGGCTTCTCCTATCATTCAACCATGGTAGGTATACTGCAAAGAAAAGGAAAGGCGAAAATATACACCCCCACCCCCATACCTCTCCTTATTCTTGACCGTCGCTCACCCGCTTGGTACAAGTTTCTTTCTCTCCCCATCCTTCCGCTGCCATTAGAATAAAAGATGGCGGCCATAATTTACCCTAAGAAATATGAGCACGCGCTCGCCAATACTACGCCTACCCTGCAGGCTAGCATGAACCTTCAGTACGACTTGGATAACTGTTGATTAAAAGAAAGCGCATTTTTGTATGGGCCATTTCCAAACTACATTTACCTGGATAAGATGACAAGATAAAGTATAAACTATCGACCGGTAGGAGTTGAAGAAAAGTTCATCCAGCCAACTTAAAACTTTAAGGAAAACTTGAAATTTCTGAAAATATTATAGTACACATAATTTCTTTGTGATATGGTTACTTATTTTTTTTTTTAGAGGGCACGGTAACGAATCCTGCAATCTGATTGTTTCTTTACCCGGTCAGTATTTTCCTATCTCTGCCCACGGGCAACGGTAACGCTTTCGTGAGTCGCCGAGTACATCCCTTCATTCGTTGCTATTTTTCATAAATATATCTCGTTTTACCGGCTGGGTAGTATTTTTAAGCAAACACATCGGTTACTACCTCAAGCCGACTTATGAATCCTCTCCACTTTTCTCTCTCTCAAATCACTTTGGTTGACGAAGTAATATTGGTTTCAGAAGGAATTTGTATAAGCAATAGTGTCATTACGTTGGTTGACAAGCGGCCTAAAAACCGTCTGCATTTGATTTTAATCATTCACAAAAAGTACCTAGAGAGTTAAAACGTGAGGTATTTGGTTACAGGTAAACTGAACAATGAAACTTTCATTCTGAGTCTTTCCAAGTCCGTTCAATTTGGACATTTGGACCATAAATTGCACAACAGAAACTGAAGGAATTTATTGAGAAAAGGCCGCATTAAATCCCCTTGTGTCTCGTTGGAATGTGCCGTTCGAATTTGTGGAGGAAAGACCAGATTTACACACGCCGTTGCAGCAAACAAATGAGCAAACTCTCACACCTTCAAAATAAAAAATTTGAATTTACTCACAATTACGTTCCTGGCCGTTTACTTAATGAACAGAGGTAAATCTTCGTACTTGAATGAATCGTCGATGAGAGTGAATAATACTTTCCGTTAGATCATCGACTGTTTTAAGAAAACATTGTCGTGACAGACCTTGCCAAACCAGTTCCGTTGTTTTTCAAATCTTCTTGCGCTTTTTTTTTCTTACGCGCCAAATCTTCTTGTGCTTTTTTTTTCTTACGCGCTCTCTACTTGACAGGTGTCAGGCTTGTAAAAATAATGTTTCAAACTTTGTTTGGAAGCCTTTTAAACCACCTTTATCATTACGCAAGTGAAAATGTTTCAGTGAAGCATCTCTCTTTAATTTGTATCACCTCTACTTTAAGTACCATATACTCGCTCAAAAATTGTTCAGTTTAGGGAAGATCTTGCCGTATTTATAGCCCTAAATCATTCGGGTTCTTTGTATTTCGTTAAGTTTTAATAAAAGATAAATATGTTATTTACCGGCTAAGGGTCGGTCCGTATGGTGAAGAACTGTGACCTCGGCCTTTTCAAGACCTCGGTCACAGTTTTCCCCATACGGACCTCCCAGCCGGCAAATAACATATATTTATTTCAGTGAAATATCACTTGGAAATCTTTTTTATCTTTTTGGTTTTCAACAGAAGTTATGTGGCACATCTCCTTGTCCCCCAGCTGCTTCTTGTGTACCAACTATTCACGGAAAACTCCGCTGCGTTTGTCCTGCTAATTGGACTAGAACTGAAAGCTGCGAAAGAGGTTTTTATTATTATCGCTATATACCCTTTGTTATACCTGTTTAACGTAAAGCGTTGCACGTGATGATCCACGACCTGAGAAAAAGCCTTCACCTTTCCACCTGCACTCATTTCTTTGTATTTTAGTTAACAATTATTTAATTGTTCGAGTTGTGCAATTTGACAAACAAAAGTGCTATGTTTTAACAGTATCGTAGCATAGATTGTGGAAATAGTTGGTTGAGTGGTCTGGTTGTCGCCGTTCACCATTAGCGAAGTACCTTTTTTCATACTAAAATAAGATCGAGAGAATGGTTTGATAGTAGTCCTACTGAGAGCATTATTCTCTACTGTTTAATCTTTAGTTAACGTAGGGTCTCATTGTTTTGTTGAAGATACGGACGAGTGTTCCTCTGGATCGCATGACTGCTCAGCGGACGCGTACTGCAACAACACTGTGGGCTCATTTATCTGCACTTGTAAAGCTGGATTTTCAGGGGATGGCAAAGAGTGCAAAAGTAAGAAACCAATATTTTGGTTTTTTCTTTAATTTTATAATATTTTTAACATTGTTAACTTTTGGAGGTTTTGTTATTGTCATATGTTTCTTATAAAGATCCAATACGTTTCTGGACAGTGCTCAAAAATGAACTCTATGTCGCCCAGTTTCACAATGGAGTATTAGTTAGAAACAAAATGATACTTTACGTAAAAGCTTTTTTGAAAGAACCGTAGAAACCGTGTCCAGAGCCAAAGATAACTGACAATGCATCCACCGACATTAGCTGTTTCTTACTCTGGAGAGTCTCACGGTATGATTTCTGGTAACGCGTACAAAGGTTCAATAAGTGATAAGCTCAGGTTTTTCACTACTTAAGCTCGTTTCTAACGTTATTCACTTGAAATGCATCAACCCGTACGGGTACCACTACACCTGTCTATTGTAAGATTAGAGTTGCGTCAGCGAGGAGGTATAACTCTGGATTATTGATAATATCAATTCTATCTACATACAGATATCACTGAATGTAACACTGGAAGTGCCAAATGTCACGTGCACGCCACGTGCAGCGACACTATTGGAGGTTACATATGTAAATGCACAGACAATATGATCGGAGATGGATTCCTATGTGTGGGTAGGTGTTTTGATAAACGCATATTAAAAAGTTAATATTCACCGTGAGCTCGGCCACAGTAGGATCCTGCAATACCGCTAGTGAGGTTTATTAAAGGATTTCTTTCACCGCCCTTATGAAGGATGAAAGTTAATAAGAAGCCTCTTCTTCACAAAAGGTACATGAGCTTAAAAAATAAACAGTCATCCAACTTGTGCTCTAGTACGTTTACTACTCTGCAGTATCTGCAGATATTGTTTACATCAAGCAGTTCGTGGATCTTTGGAGGACAAGACGGGAATTATTTCAAATCGTCCAATTACTTGTCATCTAGACTTTTTGTCTTTGATGGTTTGCTTTAAATTTCGTTCGTCTTTAAAAACGTCTTTAAAACTTAAAGAAAAAAATGTTCGATGTTTGATAAATCGCGATAAAACCACACCAGTATTCATTTTTTAATTCAAGGATTTAAAGGATTTCGTTTTCATTGGGCACTCAATGGGTCTGATCCAAATATAAGGTAAGATGAAAGAACACTTTCTTCTGCTAGGAAGAACTTGTTGGAACACTATTGCTGTGAATAGTTCAAATTCGACCTTCTCATACAGTGAATGGTTTCTGGAGAGGATCATCACCTTTCTTGAAACGCTGTTAAATACTTTCAGTTAATAGTGAAATTATCTCATTAGCTACTTGTAAGGAGGATTTCACATGGTATGCTATGCATGTTAATAAATGTATCTGTCTTAATTTCATGAATTGAAAAGTTTGTACAATGGTGCTTCCTATAAAAGTACGGATGGCAGGAAAGTATTGTACCTGAGTGGAGCCCAGCATTCCTATGCAGAAACCCCAGCACTCCCGATTCGAGTTGTCAGCTTCAGTATCATGTGTTGGATAAAGGTTTTGAGCCTTCCAAGTGATCATCCAGTTAATATCTATTCTGACTGGTCAGCACCACATCAATTCAGAATCTTTATTTCTTCACGTGCACATCATTCAATTTGTGCTAATCTTCGAAATTCTCGTAGACGTGAAATGTTGGATTCTTTCTGTTGCTGGTAAGTGCTTAAGATACACCTCTTGTTTTCCTCCTTTTTATGATAGATTTCGCCATAGAAAACAAAACACAAACGCAACAAACTAAACATTCAGTAACGGGGGTTTTTTGTTGTAATCGTGGCCTAAACACCGCACGCGAGCAACCGTCTTAGTCAGTCTTCGTGGAAATCTTCGTTTGTTGCACGCGGTTCTCCTTCGTAGGGCTTAACCGTACTCGCAACTTCTATTTCTTCTTCACCACTTGAGTACGATTTATTAAAACTCTCGGTAGAGCTTGCTAAGGTAGGTATACATCGCTATCAGACATTATTTCAAGAGTATTTAAACACTGACTGATACAAGATTACAAGAGATGTGAAAGATTTTTGAGTGTCAACGGAGAGTTTTCACAGTTTTCTACGTCATCACCCGCTAATTCGTTACCAGTCTACGGGACACTTTTAAGACAACGCAGAGCAGTTTAGGACCCGAAAAAAAACTAGTTTTAAGAAACTTTTATTCTCTCGGAATTGGTTTGTACATGTGATAAGAAAAATATTTACGGAAAAATGTTCGTGTCATAGAAGCTTTAAAATACACCTTTTCTTTCCCTACGTAATATTAATAAATAGGAGGAGACACGTAGAGCACTCAAGTATGTTTCTCAGAGCAATTTACCCTCGTGAGAAGTCTACTGAGAAGCGGAGATTTGTGCAAAGCCTCATTTTCTTTTATGTTCTCTCATAATCAAAGGAAGATCATCCCCAATAGATGGATGCACGTGGCGTTCACCTGGAGCCGAGACAGAAAAGAGGGAGTTCTGTTCATTGATGGAATTATAGGAGGTAGCAGGAGAGTTTCTAGTGCTCTTTTAGACCTGAACGAAAATGATCATACAGTTTTCGACATTGGTTTGAAACGAGACGACATGAATAAACCGACTTTTGATGGGTACATGAGAGATCTCCTAGTGGTTGATAAAGCGCTATCAGGAGATGAAGTGAAATACATGAAAGACATACTTTAAGGAAGAGCACGTGGTGTGACGACCTTCAAGGAGAGCTACAAAGGAGACTGGGACAAAGCGGTACAATCGAACGTTCAAGGCGGTGAGATGTTTAGGCATTACAGATCGTTCGACATGAAATCGTTAGAAGCTCTGATGTCTTCTCGTTACGAAAATGGAAGGTGCATATGAGCATGAACATTACCAATTTCAATGAAAATTATTTCTCGGGTACCATTACAGCATCCCTGATTGAAAAACCAGCCAAAGAGGCATAAAAACTCATTCTTAGACAAGCTTTAAGGCGGCAACAAGAACAGTTGAAATGAAAAACATGTGGAGCAAATAGATCAGAAAACCTCTTTATTTTAGGTTGCTGGTGCTATACTATAAATGCTGCATTTTCTGTTATCTCTCATGGTGGGTGACTCTTATGTAGTAATCAATGTCGACTGTGAGAAAAATTAGTTTGCTAATAAGAGACTGTTTTGAATCACTCGTTGAAATTCTTGTGAGGAAGACTACAGTGTTACTGATGAATGAGCACGGGGTTTAATACTGCGTCAAAGAAACGCTGAATAACACTGAGTTGTAAATTTTCGGTCCACCTTTCGAATACTGTTCATAACTGATTCATAGTAAGAGATTATAAACTATCTACTAGATGCATAAATCAACATCAAACCGTGCCTCAGTGCAATTATGACCAGCCTAACATTGATGTTTTCAATTTTTCCAAACGGCAGCACCTCATATGATAAATAAAGCCAATTCTCAAAAATTCTTTACCAATTTACTGTAAACGAAATAGGCCACAATGCGAGCCGAATTTTGAGGCTGATAAATGTAGTATCTAAAAGTTCAACTTTAGAAATCATTGTTTTGGCAACGAGATCGTACCAGTCGTCTTTCTTTTTTTTCTTTTTTTTTTTTTTTTTTTTCATCTCCACATTTCTTCTTTATAATTCTCTAACCCACCGTGCAAAACCTTGTAATTATTTTTATAGTTGTCGTTACTATTGTTATTTTATCATTGACTACATTTAAATGCTAGCTGCGGCCTTCAAGTCAAGCTTTTATGTCGGGTCTCCTCAATGATTAAATTTGCCCCAGCGACAGTTATGGCTTCTTTGCATGTATCTCAGCTTTCTGTGTCAGCCGTGAGCCGGTCATTTCACTGGGACCCAGAGTGAAGGAGTGAAAAATGATAGAGCCATTTTCAAAGAGCATCGAACGAAAGTAATCCCAGAATGCACTGGGATTGGCTTTACCTCGCTCTTTACCTACTCTTTACGAATAGCTAAACGACAATATTACGCTTAAAAGATTGAAGAGGTGAAAAATAATGTAAAATGCACTTGGCAATGAGGTCTTGAACAAAAAAATTTCGAAACTGACATTGCCGTCGTTATCTAAATTTGACAACAAAGAGATAATCATTAGATCCTAGACAAATTGCTGAGCAGTTTTGTAGATACTTCACAGATATTGGTCCCAGTCTAGCTAGGAACATTCCCGTATCTCAAAAATCGCACCGTCATTTTCTTTCCGAGGATTTTATTAATTCTTTATATTTTGATAAAATTTCTGAGCATGAAGTGGTCAATATTTGTAGCACTTTGGGATCTAATAAAGCTAGAAGCTTCGATAATATTTCCACAAGTCTTATCAAAGAAATTTTTACTTCAATTAGCAGTCCTTTGACTCGTGTCTTTAATTTGTTGCTAAGTTCTGGAGTTGTCCCTGAAACTAAAGATTGCTCTTGTCGTAACATTGTTTAAAATTGGTGATAAGTAATTATTTTCAAATTACAGACCTATTTCTGTTCTACGCTCTTTGTCAAAATTTTGGAAAAACTTGTCTACAATCGTATTATTTATTATTTGAGTAAATATACTATCCGATGATCAATTGGGCTTTCATAAACAGTATTCAACTGAACGTGCCTCAGCTCTTTTAAAAGACAAAATTTCTTCTGCTCTTGATAATAATGAGATAGCATTGAGTATATTTATTAATTTTTCTAAAGCCTTTGACACGGTTAACTATCAAATTTACTTGTTAAGCTTCTTCGCTATGGTATTCGCGGTCTTGCATTTAACTGGCTTGAAGACTATCTAAACAATAGACAACATTTGGTTCAGTTTGGTGGATTTAATTCATCCTAATCAAGCATCAAGTGTGGTGTCCCCCAGGGCTCCATTCTTGGTCCTCTGCTTTTTCTAATTTACATCAATGATATGTGTGATGTCTCAAAGGTTTTAGACTTCTTTCTTTTTGTTGATGATATAAACATCTTTTTCTCTCATCAAAATTTGAATTTTATCGGGAAAACCTTGAATGAAGAATTACTTTACTTAACAGACTGGTGCTGAGCCAATAGGCTTTCGATAAAGATAATTAAATCAAATTTCATGGTTTTCAAACCAAGACAGAAAAGGGAAAATCTGAACATTAAACTAGAGATTAACCAATGGACTATTGACCGAGTCAAAGAGTCTGTGTTTTTAGGTGTTATTCTTGACGAAAATTTTTCATGGAAACCGCACATTGCTAATATCGCAAGGAAAGTTTCAAAATCCATTGGTATAATCCATAAAGCCAGTCTCTGCCTATCTACTTCGACGTTATGTACCTTTCACAATAGTCTTGTTTATCCGTACTTTCTTTATTACATTAGCTCCACTTATCCACCCACCTTGAAACGTATTGTCCTACTCCAGACAAAGGTGGTACGAATTACATTAAGAAGTACTTTTAGCGCTCATACTGAACCTATATTTAAGCAGTTGAAAATTCTTAATCTATACAATATATATCGATTTCAAATGGGAAATATAGGCCGTTTACCTGATGCTCTTTAAAGATTATTTTTGTTTTCGAGTAGCAATCATTGCTATTACATCCGACAGTGAATTCCTTTTGCATGCCCCTTTTGCAGAACAAATATCAAACAGTTTGCGTTATGTTTCCAAGGAATAAATTTTTTAATTCTTTGAATATAGAAATCCAAAATGTTGGCACACTTTCCCTGTGTAAGTCTAAATTGCGAACATTACTCCTAAGTTGATTCCTTTGTTATTCTTCTTTATTTTTCGTTTATTATTTTTTTTCTTACTTTTCTCACGCAGCTTAAGTATATGTTTGTTTTAGTATCTTCTATTGTTGTAGATGTTTTATGAGTGTGTGCGTGTCCTTTCCTTTTCGAGCAAAGAAACAACGTTTGTTACAATCCTGCATGTTTATAAGTACCATAACCAGCTGGGATTATGGATATCAATTTTTTCTTCTTTATTGACATGTCGTAGTTTCTAAGCTAAAACTGAGAATATTTTTGCGAACGAAAAACTCCTAGAATAAGAGATATGGTAAGTTTTGAGCTCAGTAAAGAAATAGAGAAAGATGTTTTTCGCCTTGTCACGAGCGTGAACAAAGCAAAAAATCTGAGTCCCCATGAGTAATCGAGCCTCAGACCTTCGGATTCCGCGCTCGGATGCTCTACCACTGAGCCACAGAGACTACGGTGAGCGCGGAATCCGAAGGTCTGAGGTTCAATTCCTCATGGGGAATTAAAAATGTTTTTCTTTTTCCCACGCTCGTGACAAGAAGAAAAACATCTTTCTCTATTTCTCTAGGGAGCTCAAAAAATACCATCTCTCTTGTTCTATTTACAAACATGACGCTATCGACGATGCTGATCCAAGCAGTATACAGGACGCGCGTCATATGAACTTCATAATAGACTTCCCTCGCTGTAGAGTCTCTGTGGCTCAGTGGTAGCGCATCGGAGCGCGGAATCCGAAGGTCTTGGGTTCGATTCCTCATTGGGACTCAGAATCTTTGTTCCATGCTCGTGACAAGACGAAAAACATCTTTCTCGAAAAACTCCTATTTTCACATCAATTTAGTCGAAGTCGAACAAAGAAGGATGCGATTATTTTCCCAAGGGCTTTTGAATTGTGCTTATTTTTAGACTGGCAGTTACAGCAGTGGCAATTCCCGTCTAGCCCGCTTCTCTGCCGAGAGAGCTGTTGTTAAACTAACATAAGATCGCCTGGATACGTAGACAATACAAGCACTGAAAACCAATGTTAATATTAGTTTCCTAATTTTCCTGTCACAGTGCCAACTCACGACGGGTCTCCTTTGATGTTAATCCTTTACGACCTTTCCTTCCGACTTACACAAAATGGGATCATATGCGGGCTTCCCGTTTTTCATCTCCTCTCAGATGAAAATACCATGGATGGGAATATGTCATTAATGCAACCCGCTTACGTGGTATCTTTTAACTTCGAAAGCAAGCCGTAGGCTTTCTGACATAAGATCAGCCGGATACATGGGAAATACAGGTAATGAAAACCAATGTAAATAAGAGTTTCCTCATTTTCCTGTCGCAGAGGCAACTCACGACTATCGGGTCTCCTCTAATACTGTTCGTTTACCCTCGTTCCTTTAACTTTATACAAAATTGGATCATGTGCAGCCTTCCTGTTTTTCCTGTCCTATCAAATGAAAATGCCACCGAAGGCAACATGTTACTACCACAACCGCTACTTCTTTTAATAGCTTTTGACTTTACAATCAAGCCTAAGGTTTTCTTCTAGTAGCGCTTATGTTTGCGTAAAGATTGGCTGCATACGTAGGGACTACAGGCACTAAACACCAGAGTGAATATGAGTTTCGTAACTCTTCTTTCATTGTGTAATTTAACGGCTTCCGGATCTCCTCTGATACTGATCGTTTACGGCAAATTCAACTCGAGGTCATATGAAAACAAAATCGAAGGGAAAATACAACTCCACTTCATAGCTTTTTTTAAGTTCACAGCTATAAAACTACCTTTTATTTTCGCGTTTCTATTTGTTCAAAGCCAATGTGAATCATGAAAAAACTAATTGTAGAAATTTAAGAGTCTAAGCAAGTGTTTCATTTTTTTAATCTGAAAACAACCAATGACTTGTGACAAGACAGGAATTATTAACTTTGGTCATTCATATGGTGAACTTCATTGATCACAA